CAGGACTGTTAACTACATAGCGGGTCCAGGCATTGGTTACCGTATTGTGAAGAACAGCAACGACCCCTACATTCCTCCGTACTTCCCAACCATACCTAGTCCCTACGACCCTGAGTTTATCAACGCTGGCTCTAAATATGGAGCTGGAAGTCCACCTGCTGCGTCTTCAGATGACGTTTTCAAAGGTACGGTTCATTTAACTGCAATGTTTCTATCACATCCATGATCTCATATTTTGTATTAATTTATTTCTTACTTACCAAGGTACAGGTTACGCTGACTTTTCTCCAAACTAGTCCAGACCCAATTATACTTATGAGTTTCATGTCAATGAGTCTGACTACATTTCATGGCAGATCGAACCTACATGCAATATACTGAGCACTACTATGATCGAAACACAGTACTTATATTTCTATCAATCAACCAAAACCAAACAAATATAAAGTTATACATTTTTCCCGACTGCAACTTTCATTAATTGATTGCTGACATTTATTGGTTCTGCTCATTTTTGTTACTGTTTACTATAATATGCTAAAGGATATTGTCGTTTATATTGATATCTTAAAGCGGTAACTACTCTAACAATGATACAGGTTAATAAAACATATTTTTCAGGTCCCGATGGCACAGCCGCCTCCGGCCACGTAAAACCACCTCCCTTCCCAGTCAGCGATTCAGACAGAAATACTAACACTGCCCCAGCATCAGGACCAGCTCCTCCCGAGCCAAGTTCTGACGATAATAGCGAGCCCCAGTACAACCCACCACCAAACTTCAGCCAAAACCCAGGAGCTGATGATGGCACTTTTGTAGATGAAGACTCATCACCCACAGGACCATTTGGACCCCCGCAGCCGACCAAAGGACCAGGTGATGAATAGCACCGGCAATGATTGATGTTAGTGATCTTGTTTATAAATTGTAATATAAATAATCCCACTCGAATTCACTGCCTCCATCTGCGGCGCTAAGGACCAACTTTTTTTCAAATCTGGTCCTTTTGACAGCGTACGTCGGAAGGCACGTGAGTCGAGTGGCTGCATCGACTTTTTCGATCAAAACTTTTTACGGAATTTTCACCTAGTAAACTGTCTTGTAATTAGAAAATTCTGTCGAAACTTTTGATTTTTGGTTAGTAATAATAAAACTAGTAAAATAAGAAGTTTAAAATACCTAATGAAACCAAATCCAAAAAGTCGATCGTAATCAGGTGACACAAGATCACGAGTTTCAATCCGCTTGCGACGCCTGATGATGCACTCGAATATTATTTATTATATTTGCTTGAACGCAATAAATATTATTCACCACCAATTTGGTTTTTATTACACCAACACCTTACGGCACGCAGCACATACAGCACCGATCGTATACTAAACAAGGAAATTTGAAATTATTGAACACTTGCAGGCAAACCGGGCAGACCGGGCCGCCCGGGCCGACCGACCAGCAAACCTTATAGGCCGACGAAGAAACCGTATGTGCCACTAAAACCTTTCCAGACACCAAATGACATAAGCGACGAAGTAGTTCACGAGGTACATGACCATAACACACCCGAGTTCGGAATAGGCTTCAACATAAACCGCCATAAGCCCGGTACCACGATCATTAGGAATTTAGGTCGGGATTACTTTGGTGTTCCTCCCGGGGTCTCGGTCAGGGCTCATGTACAAAGCATTGACTTGTATCCTTTCGGCTCTAAGCCCATATCGCCTGCTGAGGCTTTAGAAAACGACCAGACGTAACACTCTCGAACATGACACGGTTTCTCTACATACAAGTATTATTTAAACCTGTAAGGATTGTAATTTAAGTAATAAAGTTATCTATAAACTTTGTAGCGTTTCATTTTACACATATAACCATACTAACACTATCACAAAATAATCATAATCAAGTAGGTAAACTAAAAATACTCCAAAAAATGAAACGATATTCGAAAGATTTTTTATAAATTTTATTCGAACAACACGACTGTAATAACAAAATGCAAAATAGTAACTGTTACAAGGAGTCGGGTTGTATGTATGTGTGTGTGCGTGACGTCATCCCATGCCCCACTCCCAGCCACCTCGTACCATAACGATATAAGAATTATGCAAATAGGTGTAACAAATATAACAAGAATAGGATATAATTGGAAGGGTTAAATTTGGCAATCTCAAGTAGTGAAATATTAACAGGAAAGTTAATAATTGTGGATAAAATAATTTATACTAAATAGATATATTTATTTTTTATATTAAGTACCTAACTACTCGATTGTGAAATTGATCAAACAATGTCTAGATAATATTCATTACGTTATGTTTTTCTTAATAATTTCAAAAATGTATACAATTAAGTGTTATTGGTTACAGCTCGCTAGGATATTTAAACAAATTATATATTAACGTGTAAATATCGTAAGATTTCTTTAATAAATAATTTACCATAGTTTATATACGTACGAAGAATAATTTAAAACGAACTATATAGTCTTAAACAAAGGTAAGATAAGGACTATGAACTAAAGTGTGCGATTTCAAAGACTTCCAACATCTTACCGACCCACAAATTCCAACTGTACTTGTATGAGAACATAATACAAGGCACTATTTTATTTGTTAGTGACTAGTCGATTCAAATAATTTCACACAGAGATTTCTGTAGATCTTTTACGCTCACCCACAGGTAAGCTTATTTCTTTATCTATGTGAGAAGAGGTTTTTGCCCATCAGTAATTAAATTAACACAATAGGAAATAAGCCAAAACAGAATCCCTGTAGGTGAGTGAGTGTCATACTCAACAGTCTATTGTGAATCCTGCTTCTCATGCATGAAACCATGAGGGTTTCAAACAAGGGCAGGGCAACAGGCAAGGGTTCGAAACAAGGCAAGTACCAATGCGACTTTTCCGAGTTGCATGAACGCTCTAAGATTATGTAGTCATCACTGACATAGGATGAAGGAAAACATCGCCAGAAAAGTAATCCTTGCTAATCCACCCACACCATGCATCAATATTCATTCCTTCTCCATGCGAGAAGAGGCCTTTACTCAGCTGTATTATATTCAAAACGATTTTCTGTATAACATAGTTACCAGCAGTGCAGAAATAAAACAGAACCTTTTTATTAATTCTCACACAAGCATTTAGTAAGACACATGCGAGTCACAAAACAAATGTCCAAGACCAACCATACTCTAAACACTGCCATCAAAATTTTATTACAATTGGCTATAACCGACGAAGTCTAGAATTATTTAGAAGACCGTAAGACCATTGTGAAAATACAAACTTAGTAGAACAATATCACTTATTGAAACTTAAACAAGTAAATATAATAAATTACAACAGTAAATAAATTTTAATAAACAGAAGCTTTGCTCCTGTGCCTTAACCCTAAGGATGTATATAAAAATCTATTCATATTGATAGAAAAAACAGTACATAGAAAAAGACTAAAGGCAAATTAGCAAATCACAAGAAGAAGCTATCGTTGAGCGAATAATTTTATGTGCGTGCTTACGATTACAAGGGCTATATATACAAAGAATTTTAGACCGAATTTACAAGGCCTTAAAAGTCACAATACATTCCGACGCTTCACACAAATTTAGTACATTCCAGTACTTTTTTATAGATTTTTATATTACTCGTAGCAAGATAGGATTCTACAGATGAAACATCAGACCTCAAAGTGCAAAGCTATAGAGTTCAAAAATCTACCTTTATGACGTCAATATAAGATTCACATTAGTGCTTCATACATTGGGCCCAAGGCTTTAAAATGTAGTGTAGACGCTAGGATACTTGGTCGAATATTTTCATCCGTAGAACTACACGTTATTCTTATGAAACTATCGATCTATATCTATCCTTGTCATCTAACTAATTTCAAAAAGAGATAGCCGACACTTTTGCCATGAGTATCGATAAACTTACGGTTTTTACATAGCTTACATGCGGTTACCTATATTTAATAATCAGATCTGATGATTTATACGTTCATACTAACATGACAACGATGTCATAACTTTTATTAAAGACTTTAAACAATTCCCGCTTGTCCAAACGTGATATAACGATTATTCTGTCCTCTATCGTTATGTTACATTTCACGTGGTTATTTTTTACCATACTCGATTATGTTAACGTCATTTAACGATGATTTCATCACATTTTAACGAAACTTTTACACCGCGTAATTTTATTCCTCTGCATAAGTCCGTTTACTTTCATCGGTGTAATGCAATACAAAATAATTTACGTATATTAACGATACTATAATTAACTTGTCTAATGTACCTATTTAATATTTGATGGTAATAAACGTTACCATGGACTGAAAAATGCTTGTTTCACATTAATTTCACAGCCAATATTTAACCTACCGCTTCTTTAATCAATATCCCATTATTTAGAAAAGGTTTTTAGCAAATTATGAAGCTCAAGCTACTTAAATATTTTATAAGGTATACGAATTACATAGAATTGTTTTTAATATAGCTTAAATAACTAGATTTTGAGGACTAAATAAAGATTTTTGAAAATTATGTAAATAATAAATAAGGCTTGGTTACTATATATCGGCTGGTTAAAACTACTGAATTCTTTAATTCAAATTAAATATTTAAAAACAAATCAGTTCTAAAGTTCTCATTCCAAAGTGAAAACTTTTCAAGAAAAAAAAAATAACTTAATCACGATTGAAACCTAAATAAATAATCAAATATAACTTAAAAAACATTAGGGGTAATTAGTAGGTCCTTTATAGACATGTTAGCTACTAAACACACAGCTTATTGAATAAAATTTAATTAAAAACAAACTGGCAACATTATGCAGTCAAACTAACAAAGCCTCTGGTCAACTAACTAAACTAGACTATTTGTGCAATTTTAATTATTTTTATAAGCTTAAAATTATGAGCAATATTTTAACAAACTTGTATGGAGACAATAGCTTTATTTACATCAAAGTTTAAAGAAATACGTAAAAAAGACAAAGAAAATGTTACAATTTCTGAAATTAATGGATAATGTTTTCTTCAATTCTTAACATAAAAATACTGGAAACAAAATTACTGTACATTTTTATAGGCATTCGTTTGTGATACGTTTTTAAATAATGCTTTTTAATAAAATTCATTTTCGAACTACAGTGATTATTAGTTAAAAGACTAGATTTTATAAAACTATGTTAATAATAAAACATCCCCTGAATTTTCGAATATCTAATACATTGGCACCCATGTGTTGTGTTAGTTTATTGCACAATTTCAAACCTAAACCGTCAACTCATTTAGTAACTTAAATAATAAATACAAATTTAAATTAGGAAACAATTTACTGAGCGATTATTTAAAATTAAACTAGTTATAATTTAAATTTGAATAATTAGCTAAATTTGAAAAATCCTACGAAGTATATTTTTATTTTTCGTTTTGGTTTTGTAAATTTTACTAAGTCAAATAGATAAGGCAAGAAGATATTTTCACTTTGGTTTTTAAGGGACGTTGCTGAAATGTGGTCCTTTGGTACGGACACATTTTGAAGCATATTAAAACAACCATTTCTGTACCTTTTACTTTACAACTACAACCAACATTATAATACAACCTGCTTAAGTGTGGATGCCAACACGTTGACATCATTGTTGCTTCGTCAAAAAATAAAAAAACAAACGTGTATTTATCAACAAATTCTTCATACGTTTTAGAAAATCTTACAATATGGAAGAAATTTAAAATGGTTTCATCACGTAACGATAAAAGCAAATTGTAAATTAATTCAATAAATAATCATTCAACTATTATACATATTCAACGGGTTACATCCCACACGAGTAAGCATCTTGAAATTCTTTATTAACAAGCTTTTTTAATTATTTATCCCTAATGAACCGAAGGACCGCACCTTTAACTTTACCGCTTAGGACCAAGGCGCGCGACGTTGAGCCAATATTACGTGATTTTCATCTTCTTGCTAGTTTCCTCAAGCATGTCTTTTATTTTGGAAAGAGGAGAGCGTTTGTCGTCGGTACCTCCTCCTTTACCTCCCAGGCTACTCGGCAGATGAATGTGAAGAGGGTCACGAAGACGATTCAGGTCTTTTTCCACTTTTGCTATCTGTAATCAGTAGAATATTATGTTAACAGCTTAATTAACAAAAAATCTTATCATGTCTCGTAATAAAATCTCTTTTCATCTAGCTTGTTTAAGTGAGCAAATTGGGTAATTATTCTCCAAAAGAATGTTAGAACAAAAGGTCTTATCGTCTGTAAGATTAAAGACTAATTAACTTAAGTCGACTCACCTCATCCTTAAGACTGTTGTAATGATTAATGTCGAGTCCAATCTTTTTCGCTTTTTTGTGCAAAGTCAACAGGTGCTGTCTATCTTTAACGTCGGGTAACACGTATTCCTGAAATTAAATTATAGTATTTTAAGTAAAACTGGAGATTTAAAATTGTGTAATTTTAGAAATGTATTTCACATCATCATTCTGAGGAATCAAATTGTTACTTTATAGTATAGATAAACATAGAAGGAGCACCAATACGTTTTTACCAATTTTAAATTACATCTGTAACTTCTTAGTTCCAGATATAATATGATATTAGTTTATCGATTATCCAAATAAAAAAAGTAAATTACCATGACTACAAGTACTTAAAACTCACCTGTTTAGTCAAAACGAAGTAGGCGTAAGCGGCCATTGCAGTTCCATAGGTGACGAAGTAGGTGACAGGCTCCATGATGTCCCAGGAATACTCCCACCAGGTAAGACGAGCCAGTACACCAAACTGCACGCCCATAAGACCTAGACCTACCCAGGTTAGGGCCGATGTACGACGCGTAGTCTCCACCTCGAGGCTCATACGTTTCTGGAAATTATTGAAGCAATTTATTAATCTAATAAAATAGGCAGATACTGTCTTGTCTAGAATGTAAAGTTGAAAAGAGCTATTAAACCTTTGCAAGTAAAATAATAAATTTTCTATTAGCGTTGTGAAGCAATACAAAGAAATTTAGTGGTACGACTTCATGGGAAAAGTTTGGGAATATTGAATTCGCTAATATACAAGATATTTATTACTATTTTCTCAGAGACAAATATGGAAGTACCACATATCAAACTTCATTTGGCCGATCAAGTCGTTAAGCATGAACCGTAAAGTACGAACATTAACATGCACATAACACAGAATTTCAAATCAACAAAGAAGGACAGAATCATATATTCAAGAGTAGGTACCATTTGATTCTGACTAACCAAAAACCTTACCTCCTCTAATGGTTGCAGCTCGGTGGACAGTTTCTCCAGCTGCGCTTTCAGCTCCCTTTCTTTACGTATCTGGTGTTCTCGAACATTCAGCGCTTCATATAGTTGGTTCACCAAGTTCCGTACGTCGCTTAATCGCGTAACCTCCTCTTGGCTTAAACGCTCCTGGTAAGAAAGAAAAGATCAAAGTCAAAATAGGCTTAGAATGTTAAGGTGTAATCACAACGTTCGGAAGTTTGAAGTAGTAGGATAGAGATTATAAAATGTATTGTTTCTTTTCTTATTATATTGAGTACTGTTTAAAATTTTAGGAATAAAATTCATAATAACTTTGAGAAACTTATAAAGTACCTGGTACCTACATTTACTTTACATTTTATAGCAAAAATATAGGTATACGCCGAAATTATGGATGACAAAGACGAAAAATAGCAACGAAATATGTCCAGTTTTCTATTTACAGAAATAGGGACTAACATTTTCGCGTGTCATGTACAATTCCGTTCCGTCCAAAGTTCTCGTCTTGTCTAATTTATGTTTTCTTTAAATTCTAGCTAGAAACACGAGCTTGTCTCGCCCTAGTCATGTTTAGCTTAGCTTTTAAATACAAAATTCTAGAATAAATTTATTTTTCCTTGTATCAAGTTGCAATTTTCGATTTGTAATCATAGTAAGGTATGAACGAAACTTATTTAAAACAATTTATCCTTTAACTCACAAAAATATAAAGCACCTAGCGGTATCACTAAAAAATTGTTGATTTGACAGTTCAGACAATTAATTTAAAATAATGCCGATTGACAGAAAAACCTGCACAAAATAGTTACTTCCCATAAATTAACCTGAGACTTAGGATACTAATTAAATGTAATAAAAAACAAGTCATTAACTGCATCCGACGTTTACGAGAATCCGAAGGAAAATACATTACAAAGTAAAATCTTGAGATTCCTGTTACGATGTTTGTGCTAAACGAGTGTTAGTAAGAAAGGTAAAAGCTAGTTGTAGGATTTAAAAAAGAAATAAAATGAAAGATCGTGACAAGTTACTGTACGATAAAAGCAATGTAGAAGAGATTGTTAAACGGAAAGTTAGTATACATACCTAGTATAGTGCGGATCTAAGGACCGATATTTGCTAAAACCGTTTTTTTAATTATTACATTCGTTGGAATTGGATTTCTTTAATACTGATTAGTTACAGTAATAGATGTATGACTAATCCACATTATGGAACTTAATAAAAAATGCGACCAAAAGGAACAGTTTTGGAAAATATAATAAACTACAACTATCGTTGTTTGACAATATAAAAAAGCAAAACATACTTCAATAAATGCATAAAAATACAAACCGATACTCTAAAACGTTTTTCTGTTATCTCCATGCTATTTTAATTAAATTAGTGGGAATTATGAATGCAACCAGTTTTGCATGTTTTTATTCCTCACTTTTGTAACATGAAAAAGGGGCTTAACACAAATTTTATATGGAATCAATTCAACAAAACTGGCATGTTATCGCTGTTTTTGATCCACAGATTGCATTGAAAAAACAACAAATAAAACAAAAACGTTTGATTCCAATCAAAACTGAATTCATAGCTGGCATGTTATTGGCACTTTTTGATATGAAACGTAAAATGTTTGAACAAAATAGCACCACAGATACTGGCTAGCGCTATTTTTATTTGCCGCGTTAGAATTTATTTCTTGCATAGTAAGTGTGTGTGTAATTTTATACACTTACACACCAACCTTATTTTAAGCAATGTCTATATCAATCAATAGCACATCGATAGGGGGTTGTTAGATTTTCACAATATTATATGTATATTAGTCTTTCATATTCATTTATTAATTCACAATTTATTTATTCTAATAATATTATAAAAGTCTGCAGGTAAGATTGGACGGAAGTTTATTACTTAAAATTATGAAATTTGGCATACACACAGATTATTTTACTTAGTCGTTTCGGATACGAATACTATCACCAAGCTTCCTCAAGTCGGATTGGTCTTTTCATAAACCTTTAAATTAGAAAATAATCATAGGTTTCCTCACGTTGTTTTCCTTCACCGTTTGTAAGTGGTGTCTAAATACACTTAGAAAGTACATATAACTTAGGTATATTGGTACTTGCCAGGCGGACCTGTACCCTCGTGCGGGAGCTCTAGCCATCGGGCTAAGAAGACCACCACTGGTCACTAAGTAAAAACTAAAGCCTTGACTGTTTGCTGTGACGTCTACCTCGTATAGTTTAAAAATGTTCATTTATTCCTTTTGCTTGCTGTTTTGTTACCTTTGCTGTAAAATAACTATATGTATAGATGTAGAAAAAGTATGTATTGCTAAATACTTTTTCTTTCTAGGTAAAAAATCTAATCACTATGGCATTTCGAGCACTCTAGAAAAGCCTAATTCTTACATCTGATTTCATTTAAGAAACACCCTTTTCCTGAAAATAATGCGATCGATCGATTCTAACGAACGAGCCGTTCACAATCTTTACAACATGTGAAATTTATGACATCTAAAGAAAAACAGATGTCCATTAAATAATCACGCTCTATAAAAGTTTATGGGTTCCGAGAAAACCTGGATCCTCATGGTTTATAGATGTCGGACGCCCCATCAATCCCTTTGAGGCGATAAAATTTTAATATTTACGTGCTTTTCTGAGCATACCCACAAGTTTTCACACGATTACTATGTAAATAATCTGGAGGAAAAAAGGCCTAAACTTATGTGGCATTTAAGAACGTTACGTATAATGACGCTTATTATTATTTAACCGTAGATTGACAGAGGTATAAACTCCAATATTAATATAGATCAAAAGTTAAATATTTCTGATGAGTTAAGTCTGAAAAGTCATAAGGGTTTATAAGAGAAAAGTCAAATAGAAGGAAACCTCTTTCATATCCGAGTTCTTTAAAGCTATTATCACGAGAGCGTAGGACTTCTAATGGCCAAATCCCAGATAGTAATATGCACAAATCACACAAGGCAAAATGAGTCCTATAACCATTTCCTGTAAGACCCTGCACCATTTTGGTGGAAAGATAATCAGGTGACATCATGTTACGTCTTGGAATCGCTGCGTTTTTCCGTGTAATTTGTGTTGTAAGACTAAAATCCTCTTCTGATGTGACTGTTTAGAGGTTTTCCTTTCCTTAAATTAAATTGAATTTTGAGTAAAGCTGTGCTAAAGCTACTGATCACGGAAATCATTTGCAACTTCTCATCAATAAGTGCTTTTCCTTGTGTATTCCATTGGTCTTTATTAATTTGTTAATGTGTTCTTGTATAGCCTATTCTCAAAAATAAATTCATTGTATTAAATGGAAGACATAGACAGAATTGTACTATACTCACAGTAAATCGACTTTTAATTCTCTAATAAAAAAAAATCGAAGTAGGAGAACGAAGCTAAGTTGAAATTAAAAACAAAAATTTCAAAAGTAACCAAAAATAACGCTTCTGAATAAAAAATAAACAAGCGAATTTAACCAAACGTTGCATAACCACCTTGCTTGGTATAAAACAAGTGGTAGGAATCAAACCAAAAGTAAACAAAAACACACGAAGATACATAGATATGACAGAGAAAAATTTGGTCGTCAAATTTTGCAAACAGGGATGGAAGGGATTGTTTCATTATATGAAATACCGTCGCGTCGACGTGTAAACACAATGCCAGAGAATTGTAAACATGTCAACGTTATTAAATCTTGAGTGTTCCTGATTATACAAACGCAACGCCGTTTGAACTTTATGAACAGCTTTAAAATTGAGGTCCAAAACGTGTTGTTGAGAATTTTGATGAGTTATGTTGTTAATTTACGTACGTCAGTAAAAGGGGTATTTTCATAAATAATAGCACGGTTGTATTCCCTGAGGAAAAGACAGGGTTACAGCTGTTGTTTAGTGTACCAGGTTTGCCATATAAACATAAAAATGTAGCAGCCAAGTAGTTAAAAAAAAGGTTCAATCAATAAGCTAGCTCTTTGATCGCAGTACCTACATTTTGACTAGGTGTTTATCTGCGATGGCGATTCGATTTTTGTGCTGTTTACAGTTCTTACCTAACCTTATGTACCATTCCAGAAACCTGGTTTTCATGACAATCCTTCACTCTTCAACTTACAGGTGGAATGAAAAATTAATCCTAGTCTAGTCATATAGGCCGTTAATGGATAACTAATTCAAATATTTGGCTTTAACATGTATTTTGTGAGACGCTTCTTTTAAACCTATTTTTAAATACCTATGTTCTGTTTCAAGTGTGTGTAAACAGATGAGAAGGAAAACATGCATAGTTCTTAATGCAAACTGCGCTCAGTAGATACGAAGATAAAAGAAATAAAATTTAAACAAATTTACACAACAGAATGCCTTTTGTTTTCCAATGGTCACTTCAATTAATTGAATATCATTTTAAATATTCAAATAATAACTTTAACGTTGTAACAACCCGCCAATGATATTGAAAACTGACCCTAAACTCACTTTCCTCAACTCACTTTCCTCAACTCAGTAAAACTCAATGCATATTCAATGCCTACTTAAAATGTCCATAATGATCGCAAATTCTCTCAAAATTCAACCCTTCTTGTGGGAAATGTTAAGAGGCTATCAAATGCCACCATTATAGAACGATAAAGTATTCATGGTGCTTCCAAAATAAGTGTTTCCCAGTTCTAAGAGTACTCTTTATCTTTTTTACTTGATAACATTAGGGTTTATGCACATAACGTCAGACACTTCAACATAATGTGGGCCCTAAGTTTTCACATAAACCAACGAACGGATTAAATCTATTTGAACAAAGAAATTCGATAAGACTATTAAGACTGAGACTTAACACTTAAAAAGAAAAATGAGGTCTTAGTCAGACGAGCGGTCGCCTAAATGTAAAAGTAAGCAATATGCGCGGCGATGGACTCTTACCAAGAAGTTAGAAGTACATTGCCGAACTGTTTTTTTTTTTTTTGTGAGGGGAAAGTCGTCAAATGACTTCTCCCGCCCAGGGCCGGACGGAAGGGAGTGTCAGGCTCTTACTAACTAAAAACCCCCTCCTGCTCTGGGCCGAGGTCGCGGTGCCTCATTGCGCTTACCCCGCAACCCCGGCTGAACATCAGCCCTATAGGGCCCCGTCTGT